TCATTGGAAAAAAATAGAATAAGTAAACAATATACTTGTTTCAATAAACTTTTTTTTTTCGAAACGATAGAGAAACTATTATAAATCAAAAGTGCACAAATGTGCGAATAAAAGTACAAAGCTCCCAACGGGAGAATAAAATGGGAGGACATGTCATAAGACCGCGTAGAACCGACCCCAACGGGGTAATACTCGGACCTACAAACAAAACACGACGACACTGAAAGCTCCCAAAGGGAAGAAATAAACAAACAACAAAAAGGCCCCAACAGGGTAATAACGTGACATTCGGGCTCACAGAGGCAACAGCCCAAACCTAAAACACAGTTAACACAAAACAAGAACATAACAGAGCAACACACAAACAAAGACTACAACCAAAAAAACTAAACATAAACATAAGCCACACCCTCAGCAAGAACATCCGGGAAAGACAGCAGACATAGCCGACATAGCCAGCTCCGAGGAGAGCTACGAAACTCTGGAACCATGCCTGCCACTGCAGAAGGCCTAGCAAGACGAAGACCCTAGCCTCCGAACAAACCGTAAGAAACCGACCCGCTCACCAACCGCAAGAAATCACAATCGCCCCCCAACCGGCTAACACCACTAGCCAATCTGAAACCGTCCCAAATTTGACTAACACTACTAGCCAAATCCGGAAACAGACGGCCTCCTACTAACTCAGAAACCGAGCCGAAGGAGGAAAGAGACGAACGACCTCAAGGCTCCGCCGCTCCATCCCTGCCCGAAGAATCGAACTCAGCCCGAGCAAGACACCTATCCACCCAGCCCCCAAGGACAAATCTCGACCCACCACCCCAGCAAGCCGAGGTAGTAGAAACCAGGCTCCAGCCATAACCGAAGACCCGCAATCGAGATTCCTTACCAGCCCGACAGAAGAAGATGGTCTGACCAGAGCTCGAATCGCATCTCCCCACCCAGCCCCTGAGGACGGGTCAAAACCCACCCTCTGCCACTCCAAAATGCCGGCAAGCAGAAATCCGGACTGGAAACTTGCAACCCCACAGAGATTGGGGATCCGGCCGTCGACAAAGGCGGGGAATGAGAGACCGGAACAGAGACTACGCAACTCGTCGAGCCACATCCGACCACACTCCATCTAGTCTCTCCACCGATGAGCTCCGGTGCCACAATCACCGAACGACGAAGATGACAAACCCATCGGAGCGCAGCAACCGTACCTCATGGCGAGAGAGTGAGAGAGATGGAAGTACCGTCGATAGCGGTGAGGATGCTCGGCGGCGAGCTGTCCACCGGCCAACCGAAAGCCCGCCGAGAGAGGCGACAATTCCTTCGCCGAGATCTAGGGTACAAGAATTGGGGGCGGCGCGATTTTTTATGTGAACCTAAATTTCAAAAGGTGGTTTGTGATGTTTCAACTTTTCAAAACCTATCCTTATAAATATTTTTTTATCGTAATAAACACACAATAAACCCACTTATTGTTCATTTTATATCCAAAGAGAGAAGAAAACTTATAACTAATCTATTACTTTTTTTTAACTATTATTCATTTAGTTTTATAATGAAAAGATGAATGTTGTTGTTTGTATGAACTCGTTGATAATAATGATACAAGTTACTTTATGATTTTAACCATAATTTATTAAAATAATTTGTAAATTTAGTTAGTTAACTATTTTTTAACAATGTGCAATGCACGTGCAACCCACGTGCAATGCACGTGCGACTCACGTGTGACTCATATGCTACTAATTTACTTAAAGAATCTCAATTTAACTAAACTTCACATATGTTTGTACCAAAGATCTATCATAGTATATATACCTAATGAGAACAATACAAAAGGAGACCTAAATTAGAACACTAAAATACTAATTATTTTTAATGAGAATAACATAAAATTGAAATTCTGAAATGAAAATGTTGAAAATTCAGGCTTTATTATGACACAATATAAAAAAATCAAACCCTACAATAGAATTTTCCAGAAGGGGGACAATAGTAGTTCACCAATCCATACAATAATGGCTTATTATTCAATGGCTCTCATCTTAAGCATCATCACATCTGTTATTTTTGATCAGTTATCCCTTCCTGAAAGTGTTGACTGGCGCAACCAAGGCGCAGTGACTCCTGCTCGTGACCAAGGGTCACCCTGTGGTGCGTACCTAGCTACCTAATTAAATAAGTATTTAAGTTTATTAATAAATCTACTAAAATATAATTAATTAATTTTTGGTTTGTTTTCATTCATCGCTTGAGGGAGCTGTTGGCATTCTCGGTCGTGACCGCCGTGGAGGGCATTGTTCAAATCCGGACTGGCAGTTTGATCCTGTTGTCCGTGCAACAGCTCGTCGCCTACGATGACGAGGGGGACAATTGTAGTGGGGGAAACGTATGGACCGCATTCGACTATATCATCCGTGCCGGCGGCCTAGCCACCAACTCCAGCTACTCGTACGATAGCCCTGGGGAAACGTGCTAGCCTTATGAACCTGCCGTGGAAATATCAGGCTACGAGAAAGTCCCTGCCAACAACGATACGACCCTGATGGAGGCCGTTGCACGTCATACGGTGTCGGCCAGCATCCACTCCGACTGCACCGAGTTTCAGGATTACACGAGCGGCGTGCTTGCAGTGGATCATGGGGAACATCTTATTATAACATCTATAAAGTAAATAAAGTTTGATGGAATCGTAATCTTGGTTTTTTTTCTCAACCCATCAATACGTGAACAATATACAATTATATACAATTCATTTATATTAAAATTTTAAAGGTTTAAAGTATCTAATTATTTTGATTTTTTATTCTTTACTAACTTCTTGTCTTTTTTATTTAATTAATATTTTTTTTAATTGGTGCGATTCATTGGAAAAAAAAATAGAATAAGTAAACAATATACTTGTTTCAATAAACTTTTCAAAACTTATAACTGTTTTTTTTTTTAATAAAAACAAAATAAACTCCACTTATTGTTCGCTTTATTTCCAAATAGAGAAAAAAATTTATAACCAATCTATTACTTTTTTTAACTATTATTTATTTAACATTATAACGAAAAGATGAATGTTGTTGTTTGTATGAACTCATTGATAATAATGATACAAGTTACTTTATGATTTTAACCACAATTTATTAAAATAATTTGTAAATTTAGTTAGTTAACTATTTTTTAACAATGTGCAATGCACGTGCAACGCACATGCGACTCACGTGCGACTCACGTGCAATTTACTAATTTACTAAAAGAATCTCAGTTAAACTAAACTTCACATATATTTGTACGGAAGGTCTAATATAGTATATACCTAATGAGAAGAATACAAAAGGAAACCTAAATTAGAACACTAAAACATTAATTATTTTTTAATTGAGAATAACTTAAAATTGAAACTTTCAAATAAAAATGTTGAAAATTTAAGCCTTATTATGACATAATATCAAAAAATCAAACCCTACAGTAGAATTTCCCCGAAGGGGACAATAATAGTTCACCAATCCATACAATAATGGTTTCTTATTCAATGGCTCTCATCTTAAGCATCATCATACCTATTATTTCTGATCAGTTACCCCTTCATGTAAGTGTTGACTAGCGTAACCAAGGCACAGTGACTCTGTTCGTGACCAAGGGTCACCCTGTGGTGCGTACCTAGCTACTTTTTTAAATAAATATTCTAGTTTATAATTAATTAATTTGTGGTTTGTTTTCATTCATCACTTGAGGACCTGTTGGGCATTCTCGGTTGTGGGCGTCGTGGAGGGCATTGTTCAAATCCGGACTGGCAGTTTGATCCCGCTGTCCGTGCAGCAGCTCGTTGACTGCAATGACAAGGGGGACAATTGTAGTGGGGGAAACATATGGACCGCGTTCGACTATATCATCTGTGCCGGAAGCCTAGCCACCGACTCAAGCTACTCGTACGATGGCTCTGGGAGAACATGCCAGCCTTACGAACCTACCGTGGAAATATCAGGCTACGAGAAGGTCCCTCCCAACAACAAGAAGACCTTGATGGAGGTCGTTGCCTGGAGTTCGTTGTCGGCCAACATCAACTCCGACTGCACCGAGTTTCAGGATTACACGAGCAACGTGCTTGCGGTTGATCGGGGGAACATCGCATTGTAAGATCTGTAAAGTAAATAAAGTTTGATGAAATCTTAATCTTGGTTTTTCCTCAACCTATAAAAACCTGAACAATATACAATTATATAGAATTCATTATCTTAAAATTTTAAAGGTTTAAGGTATTTAATTATTTCGATTTTTTATTCTTTAATAACTTCTCGTCTTTTTTATTTAATTAATATTTTTTAAAAAAAAATTGGTGCGATTCGTTGGAAAAAATAGAATAAGTAAACAATATACTTGTTTCAATAAACTTTTCAAAACTTATCCTTATAACTATTTTTTTTTTTATTTTAACAAAAACACAATAAAACCCTCTTATTGCTCGCTTTATTTCCAAACAGAGAAAAAAACATATAATCAATCTATTACTTTTTTTTCTTACTATTATTCATTTAGCTTTATAACAAAAAGATAAATGTTGTTTGTATGAACTCATTAATAATAATGATACAAGTTACTTTATGATTTTAACCACAATTTATTAAAATAATTTTTTTAAATTTAGTTAGTTAACTATTTTTTAACAATGTGCAATGTACGTGCGTTCACGTGTAGATTACCAATTTACTAAAAGAATCTCAATTAAACTAAACTTCACATATATTTTGATATATCACTTTTCCCACGAGAAACTGGGAACACTTTCACCAAACCTTTATTCAATATATATAACTTATTATAGGTGTAAATAATAAATTATATAATATGTATTTTGATTAATTATTAACAAGTCCCGTAACTATAATATGCTTCACTTCTATCCAATCAAAATATTTTAAAAATTAAAACTCATATTTGAAATTACTGGAAAGTAGAGCAACATAATATAATTAAGCACACCAAACGACACGACATATATGCCAATCACACATGATCATGTAAAATTCAAATTATTAGTTAGTAATGTTCATCAATCCATTATGGAACTTAATCATTCATCTAGCTGGGCCCGTAACGATTTGGTTGATGCCCTACAGCCCGCCCGGGCCGCCCCACAGCAACGAAAACCCAGCAAACTTCCTGAAAGTTACAGAACATACTATAACATGTTTTTTAGTTACCAATTAAAAATTAATGATTAATGAATGTTTAATTTGCTAAATAAAATTAATGATCACATGATTATCATCAATCCTTAAATATTTCTTCGACTTATATTTCTCCGGCACGTGACTGCAAGCTGAATGCTTAAGCTGCCCATCTGAAAAATCGTTGAGGCCAAGTTTGTAGCCGCGATCCGGGCCTGAGTTGAAGGCTTCGATATTCAACCAGTTCTTTCTGAACATGGCAAACCGCACCGCCCTCTCCGCGTCATCTTTGTACACCCGGCCATGCAGAGCCATCCACTCCTTGAATTCTTGTTCGATTTGAGACTCCAACTCAACGGAGCTGTGAACAACTAGGATGAGTAGGAAAATAGATATTATTATTACTACTTTCATTGAGATTGAGAGAGACATTGTAGGTAATTAGTCGAGGATTACAGGAAATTATAAGTATATATTATTGTATCTCACTATATCTCACTATCATGGTAAATATAAAAAATTTATGTGGTTAATTATGGTAAAAGGCGTGCAGTTAGTAATATGATTAAATTTAGCATTAAATGACTAATTAAGGTAAATCACATCAAATAAAGTTTTCATAAGATATATAACAATCATTCGATGCAATTTCTTCCCTATATGTATATACTAGTATTCGATCATGTGCACATGCACAGATGCAAATACAATTTTATATGTTATATGTATGTGTATGTAATATTTAAAATCATAAGTTAGATAATAGCATATCATATTTTATAAATTTTATCATTAGTAAAAATGAACGATAAACTATTAACTTACATATTAGTTTTTATATCGATTGCAGTTATATAATTTTTGCAATACTTTTTTAGTATGAACAATTGATTAGATAAAATAATATTAAAATAATTATTATTATAGTAATTTTAAAAATTTGGTTATATCATAAAAATTAAATAACTAATGTTGATAAAAACACTTGCTTAATGAGTTAAAATAAAAAAAAAAATCAAATAAATAGTTTGAAAAAAAACACTCTCTCTCGCTCCTCGTCTTCAGATCTCTCGAGTTTTCCGTCATCTAGACGTCGCCTTCCCCAGTTGGGCGCGGCGAGTGCTCGGTGGTGGCTCCCCTGAGCCTCGCAGCCCGTCTCCGAGAGTAGCACCGCGCGGGGGAGGGAGAGCTGTTCCGCCGGGGAGAGTGTTGTGCCTGTTTTTCCGGTGGCCGTCTCTGGTGCCGGAAGTGAGGTTCAGGCGGGCGATTCTCCTCCGGTACTTTCCATTTCGGTGGCCCTCTTGTGCTCGCTCGGAGGGGGCTGCGACCCTAAATCCGATTTAGGGTTTGGGTGGAGAACGGGATCTGGTCCAATTGCGTCTTCCCTTCTTGTTCCAGAGGTCGCCGGCGATGGTTGGAGTGGGTTGGAGTTGTGGCTGTTTTAGATGTTTGGGTTGTCGGGCTGAGCTGCTCTTCGAGCCGGTAGTCGATAACTGCTGGCTTGGGACTGAGTGTTGGTGGGTCGTCGGCGTTTCTTTTGGGTCGGGGCTGTGGGTTGGAGGGCGGTCGTTGGCGACTTTCGGGCTGGGTTGTTGGCTCTGGTTCGGAGTTGCCGGTTATCATCGGCCTGAGGTTGTGCCTGAGGTCGTTGGTTTGGCCGGATGTTGTTTCTCCAGGTTGTTGTGGGGTTTGTTCGCCTGGACGAGGGTTGGGCCAACCTGTGTGTCTTCGATTCAGTTAGGCGCTCCTGCAGTTTCTGGATTGAGATTTTGGGCTCAGCTCTGCCACGGGCGTGCTCGGTGTGGCTTCTCGCTGTGGGAAGGGCTTTTGTGTGTTTAGTTTTAGTGTGTTTAGTGTGTGTTTTTGTGTTGTGTTGTTTAGTATATGTTTGTTTCGTGTTGTTGTGTTCTAGTTTATGTGGTTTTGGTTTGGGTCGCTTGGCCTTTGTGCGCCCGAGTGTTACTACGCGCCCGAGTGTCATTTTTTTACCCTTTTGGGGTCTGACGCTCGGGTATTACCCTGTTGGGGTCCGACGCTCGGGTATTGCCCTGTTGGGGTCTATGTGTTGTGTTGTTTGTGTTTTTTGATTATTCTTACCCTTTTGGGGTCGGTGTGTTTTTTGGTTTCTAGCGTTGCTAGTTTCGAATCCTAGGCAGTCGTCGGACTAGTCCTCTCATTTTATTCTCCCGTTGGGACCATTGTACTTTTATTCGCACTTTGTGTGTTTTGTTTAATAATAGTTATCATATCGTTGGAAAAAAAAAAAAAAAAAAAATTAAATTATAATTTCATTTAACGTGGCTTTATGATTTGTTAGGAGTAATTGCTATATAATAAAATAAAAAAAAAATACTTAATTAATGCAAAGTAATCTTTTTTGGAGGGAAAAATTTTGAGGTTTTATTAAATGCACTTGAGCTAGTAATCCTCCCTATATATAATTCCCGAATGCGTTGAGCCTACGTGGCTGCTTCTGGTGCTTCGGAATCCTATTTGGCAAAGAATCATGCTTCGTAATTAGGTTTGGATAAATAATATTGATATATTAATGATTAATAATCTAGGTTCGGGTATTCCATAAATATTATTTATCTAACTTAGGTATTTTAATATCACTTTCACTAATATAACTCTTTAATTCTTTGTAATTTTACATATTGAGGCACTAAATGATATATCCCTGAATTTTGATTTGTTTCCTTCAATAAGCTATTGAATTATAAATGTATTTTAAAAGTTGATAACTTTTGTATTTCTTATCGGTTTTACATATATAATATATCAAATTAATCATCTTTTGATGATCTTCGATTTGACATCCATATTGTATATATGAAATAAAATAAATTATATTTATCTTTATAATAATAAAAAATAATAATGTTTATTAAAATTCATTAGAAAAATAAAATTATTTCTCAATTGATATATTTATATGTAATGTAGTTATATATTGTAAGTTAAAAAAATTAGTATAATATAACACAAGTAAGTTGCACAAATAAAAAGTGTCATAATAAATATATAATAATATATATATTCTTATAAAAGGTATTTAAATTTTCAAACTACTTTTTCTCATTAATTTTAGATTTTAAGAAAAAAAATTAGCAAGCACCCGTGTGATACACGGGTGTTGTACTAGTTATATATATATATATAGATATCTGAAAGATTCACTGATGTAAATTAACCAAAAAAAAAAAAAAAAAATGTCTTGCTTTGTATATAGCATAACGCAAGATTAAGTAATTATAACGCCAGATTAAGTAAATTCATGACAAAGTAATTCTGGATTTATTTAATTTTGTTATTTGGAAAAATATTTATAAAATATATTTGGACATAACAATTTTTTTTTTTATTTTGTTTTAATATTACCATGTAGGAGAATACCAGATTAAGGTAAGTATCTCATTATTTTGGTAAATATCAAAATTTTATGTGGTTAATTATTTAAGCCGAGAATATCAAAACACAAAGTGATCATCGTATATAATTACCACAATCCTGTAATGTAGAAGGACAACGCAAACCAAAACCATAGAACAAGATGAAGCTATAGGAATAGCTTCGCATTACCACCAATATCAGAACGCATGTTGAAGTTAAAAATATGCATAGAATACATTATAAGGCATCCAATCGAACCAAAAACCGAATGTTTTTTGCCAAGACAAAAACATATTAATAAGCAAGGCATGGGATCTTGTTTTCCACGCAACACAAAATGAGAAAAAAAACTTCGTCAACTATTAACAAGGCTTAATATAAAGTCAATGGCGCAATGGACTCCAGTGCCTCGACTCCTACAAAGGACTTCCATCCCGCACGGCTAGCTATAAATATCTGCACCGTTAACACGAAATGACAAATATTAAGGAATGACATTTCGAACAGTCTTGTTGACAAATAAATTTTTCTTCAAAGAGGCTAAACAATGGTTTTGTGAAAACTAGTGTAGCACAACCAAAAATGACTGCTGAAAAAAAAAACACATTTTGTTAAAACTATAATTTGAAAAAAAGAAGTAACTGCATGTTATTAACCTTAACACAAATGTCAACAAAATTTACATGGTCCGAATTCAATCGAAGTACAAAGAACAAACTTGAGGAATATCCGTCAAGACGCTGTACAACAGACGCATTCACGCAAACAAACAAATTTAAAACTATTGATTGTTACAAGCAGCATTGGTGGCTTTCCTAATAAAAACACAACTTTGATACTACTACATAACACGCATATAGACAAGTCCAATTACTTTCAAGTAAGCTTCTAATTTTTTATCGTGTCTGCTAAAACAATTAGCCTAAGCTTCCATCAGAATTATCATGTGTGGTATAGATGAAAAATATCAAGAAATAGCAACCAGCCGATCCCCACAACTTACAAACACCACGAAAATGTTTTGAACACAAGCAAAAAGCAAAAATTGCTCGAAATTCCATTCATCAAGCCGGAAATAATAATTATTCCCCTAAAATCTCGACGAATCCAGTTGTCTTCGGAAGCCAGGCATTTGATCCCAAATTCAAAGGTTCAAACACTCACAGATAAGCAACATCTCAGTCGCAACTCTACTAACCAAACACCAAAGAAGGAGCTCCTTACAGCTATGAGCTAAGAGAAATATATCCCCAAAACGTATAAAACACATTCCGCAACTAGTACTAGCTGAAATCATGAGGTCCAGAAAAATGCACCATTCCATGTAGCAAACTACTAGAGAAATCGTCTTAAATCCAACCAGTTTCGAATAAATTACAATGAAACAAGGAGTATGAGTATGTATATTAGATAATCAAACAGCAAGATTGACATAATTTTCATCAGTACAAGTTGAAGAGATCAAAATTATACCATCAGATGATCCATTCCTTTTGGCCCTCTTGAGCTTCTCTAGCTGGACCTGAGTATCCATAAACAGCTGCATCCTCTGAACCTCCAAATCCTTAGTGAACTGCATCCTCTGCTTTTCCAACTCCACCATCTGTCTCTGTTTCATACTCTCAACCTTCTCATAAATCTCCCCGAACGACACTATAGCCTTGGCCAGCCTCCTCAACCCATCATCCCCAATCTCCTCCTCCTCCTCCTCATCAGCCCTATCCTCGCTCTCCTCTGCCTCATCTCCCTCAAACCCTCCGTCATCGTCCTCCCCTTCGTCCTCTGCAGCAGCTGCTGCAGCTGCCATCGCGGAGTAATTCTTTCTAAAGTACGACGGCCCGTCCACCGCCGAAGGCATCGGTATCTGGCGCTTCTGCGGCAGAATAGCAGGCGTCGCCATCGCCGGCGAAGGCGGCTTCCGGTAGGCCAGCGGTACGGCGAAGGGCGGCGAGGGCAGGGACAGCGGCAGCGTGGACTGAGGCGGAGGGCTCACCTTACCCTTGTTTGGACTGGATCCGATCAGGAGCTCCAGGCGAGGGTAAAACGGCCAGGACGACGTTGCTTTCCCTTTGGAATTAGAGATCCTGGCCTTCTCGACCTTATACTTCTTCTTCAGGGTGTCGATCCGGTTTTTGCACTGGACGTCGGTCCGGCGGGTCTTCTTCGTGTGGCCGTGGAGGGCGTTGACGGTGTCGGCCACCTCCTGCCAGTCCTTCTGCCGGAGGTTCCCGCGGTTGAGGTCCAGGTAGCGCCGGCCCCAGGCGTCGACGAGCGTTGATGTCGCCTCCTCCGTCCAGCAGTCCTCGCGGAAGGGGGTCTGACGCGGCGGCGGCGGCGGCGCCTGAGGGTAGGAAGATTCCGTCAAATCACCCATCGATCTGTGCAAAACCCTAGCGATGCGAATAACGGGGAACACGAAATTTTACGGGACGGTGAGAATAAAAAAGGGAACAAGAATTTGTGATGGGTGTTGGCGGCGGAGTATGGGTGAGGATATGAAAGGAGGGGGAAAAGGGGGGAGGGATAGGGCTGACTGGTATCGCCGGGGGAGCGAGCGCGTGGGGACGACGGCCACGCGCGAATCTGAGCGGCGTGGGTTGTCATGGGTTAACGGCGTTTGGGCTACGGCACGTCGATCAGTTATCCGATTGGTTTAGCGGATATTTATTTTTCTTTGGGCTGAGGAAATTGGGAGCGGTTATGGGCCGACCGATGGGGAGGAGAGTGGGGAAAGGCAATTTGTCCGGTCATGGGATTGCCGTGTGCGTTTGGGCAATGACGGTTTTGCCCTTGCTGTGATGTCAATTTCGCGTCCTTTGTTGCCCGGACGGCTTTCACTCCAATGCCCAAAGTTTAATACCCGGTGCTGATTTATTTATTTATTTATTTATTTTGGTTAACAAATACTATCATTGAGATTTTCAACCAATAAAAAAATAATTTTATTATTTTTTTTGTTACAATGTAAAAATAAAAAGTAATATAATTTTATATTTTCTAATAAATTTATTCTTCATACTTTCAAGTTCATAGCATTTTTTTTTTTTTCAGAAGGTTGGACTGACTGGTTGAACTCATCGTTTGAAATAATAAATCGATCAAAATGGTTATAAACTAGTCCGTCATAACAGTCAATTAATTTATGAATTAAAATATATTAAGTTATCTAAGTTTTTTGCATTAATGTTTTTATTATATATATATATATATAGTTTATTGTTAAAATATAATATACATTTAAAAATATTAATTAATTAAACACCAATTCAATTGGTTCAAGTATTAGCTCGATCTCTGAACCTTTGAACATGAAGTTTGGTTGACCCGATTCTAATTGTCCATGGTTTTTGCTATTAATCATTACTAATTTAATTTTATATCAATCATTTTAATCATTGATTTTTTAATTTTATATCAATTCAAAATGTTATTTTATTTTTATTTATTTGACAAATATCTATATATATTGAAAGAGCAGTTTTTTATGTTTAATTCAAAAGTGGAAAGTTGACTCTTTGTTTAAATAGTTTGACTTACTTAAAA